TTTACACCATTCAGATATTTTCTCTGTGAAATATGTCCCGTATTCGATAATACAGTGCTTTCATTCCGCCACTGATATTCGAATATTCAAAAGCAATCTTATTGTTTTTTTTTTCTCACGCGTAGTATAGAAATTTGTAAATACAAGGAAAGCGGTGCTTCCATCGCTATCAAGGACGGTACGCAGAGTACCAGGACATCACCCTGGTAGATCTGGACATGATAACAGCGCTGATTGACGCCCTTGAAGTTACGACATATCAATGTTATTATATATTTCAGTAATTACATAGAAGGTCATGTTTTAAAAATATCTGTTGTATATTAATTGTTCTTGAAAAAATTTAAAAAAAACACGATAAACGCCACTGGTCAGGCGCCAACACGCGACCAGTGGTCAGTAGTGTTAGGCCTGAAATGTGCACGAAAGTATATATTACAAGAATAATAATGGTTTGATTCAAATTCTCTTAATATAGCGAATAGAAATTAAGATGACAATGGAAATCTTACAGAGACGATAGTATCTTTAAAAGCAGATAAACGTGAAGCCCAGGAAACATCACCCCTGAACTCCTCACGTGTGACATATAATTTTTAGAAAATTGAAATAGGCAGTCATACAATAATTTTAGAGGGGGTCAGTAAACATTGTTTATTAATCACATATTAAAACGGTGAAAACAGAATGAGTAATATACCGGAAACCTTCATTTAAAAAACAATATGACTTCAAGAAATGTGTAATGTATTTACCACACAACAGTTTATGGAGTAATATAGAAAACTCAATCTTAAATCTTATAATTTACTTGAACGTAACAACCTTTAATGAAAATTCTCACGAAAAGAAAATATACTTTTAATATAATTAAAGTCATGTGGATATTTCTAAACAGGTTGATCTAGTAAAAAGTGTAAATCCAAATTAGGCACTAATATAAATTATAATTCGACCTTTTTCTTTTGATGTAATTAAGACATGAACGATAACCATAGGCAAATAATATAATTTTGCTGGAAGGAAGGTCAACAAACTTATCATTGAAAATAGATGTTAGAAAATTTTTATTAAATGAATACTTACTTTAATTACTGAATTAAAATTAATTAAATCGTGTACAGAAGTATCAAGTTATTATTGAGTGTGATTTACTTGATTTAGGGATTTTATACACAAATTTTCAGATTTTTTTATTTAGGAATTTTTCAAAATTCCTTAATTAAAATATAATAAAACATTGAATTTTTAAATAAAGTATAAATATAAAAAATTGCACCGCTTACGAATTGAATTCCTGATTAAAAAGTAATTTATACAGAATATTTAGGTCGCGCCATACTTATAATCAAAGTGAGATGACGATGTTATCTCTCACATTTTCAAGGATTCTTATATAAATCTCAAGGAAAATCAGATAAATAGATAAAATAAATTTGTTGATAATTATTAAATATTGTTTCCTAAAACGATATTAATCTAATAGTTTAATATATTCCCATCGTACGATTAATTTATAAGTGAAGGCTGAAACTGTTTTAATAATACTGTATTAAGTAAAATAATTTATTTTTTAATTTACATTTCATTACTACAGTAAGAGACTCATGCAAAACAGTTGATGATTTGTTAGTTTTTAACGTAATAATTCAATAAAAATGTAATATTTCCCTCTTTGTAGTAGATAATTTATTTACCATATAAAAAGCAATTATTATAAGTGTTTCGAATATAATATAGAATAAGAATGACGCGAAAAATTATTCATTTTTTAAACAATATTACGAAAAAAAGAGGGGTCTAACAATTTGGCAAGGTGCTGTAAGGTTTGGCTGCATAACCTCATTTATAAGAACAAAAATCTCCTTTTCTCCTTTATACGGTTGCCTTTCTTTTAACTGTTTTCGTATTTACAGTTATTGCAAATTTTTTGAAGTTAAAAAGTGTTTTGCACTCATCTTCACCTTCTTGTAAAATAATTTAATCTCTTCAAAAATGTATTCTATCTTCATATATTTTTATATAATTATTACTGAATGTATATTTTGTTTCCTTGCTTTCTTACAATCTTTGAGAAATGTGCACTGGTTTCTTGTAAACTATTTTTGTTCTATGCTGCTTCAAATCTTGAGTGGATTATATCATGTGTTTGGAAAATGAATATGATACATTATAATGTCTTTCGTAAAAAACATGAAATACTTTTTCAAAAAACTGGGAATATCAGATCGGTTTCAAGCCGGGACGTTTGTACATTATGGCACTTGGGATACGTGCCGTCTACCTTTTCGTCTCGGTTTCTCTTTTCCTAATCCTCAAAAAGACCCTGAATCACAAAAAAAAAAAAATTCTTGTCTACTAGTCCATTCTGTAAATATAAAAGAAACTAATGAACGATATTTGCCCTTTGACACGTGCAACTTCGCGTTATAATGACCTAAATCCAATCCCTTTGCCCTCTAGTTCCACCAGTACTATCGCCGATCCGACGTTGAATCGTGGAGTTCGAAGCTCTTTGCGCAATGTACGATGCCCCCTTTTTAAATAGCTTAAACAGAATCTGCGGGCGCCGCCGATTTCAAAATTGAATTCTCTACATTTTCCCATTAGCAGCTATGGTAAATACAATATAAATAAAGTAGCTACGTTTTACGAAGAGATTTTGTTTTTTCCGATAAGACAGCTTCTAATATATTAGTCATTCTTTTTTTTAGTATTTAATGTGTGGTCAATATGGAGTGTTTGCTAAGCTGATGACTAAAATTATTCTATGGCTGTCTATTTAGATTTGCTAAAAATATATATCACATTTGCTTTTAGTCACTCTATACTTTATATATTTCTTTCAGAACTGTTATCAATTTCTCTTATGATAAATTACCTTTCTATGTAAAGAAGTCATAAGTAGAATTACCTAAGCTAGACATTTTTATATTTTTAAAATATCGTTTTTTAAACTTTTTCATGATCATTGCAACTACGTCTTCATTTATATCCACTATAATAAGAAAATCTGAGTAAAACCATTAAGATCTATAATATTTCAAACGATGAATGTAATTCAATCCAGTTTTCATTTTGACTTCAGAAGATTTCCTTTCCTAAAATAATAATGTATTGTAGTACCAATTCTTTTAATATGTAATGTCCTGCACATTATAGGCCCAACACAGTTGACCGCTCTTCGCTGATCAGTAGAGTTTTTCGGGGTTTCTTCGCTTACCAACATATAAATAGGAACCAATTTCCCGAAAGAAAATCCTCCGGATGGCAAACACTTAGCAGATTTCTCGAATGGTGCGTTATCTTCCGTTATTTAATAAAGTTTATATTACATATAGTTATCATTTAAATTTAAACACAAAAAAAAAACATTTTCTTTTCATTGAAATTAATAATAAAATAAAAGATGTATAATTTAATTTTTTAAAATTACTTAGCACATAGAGTCCGCAGTAAACTGTAATTTTATACTATTTTTCGCTTTATAGAAATTTCTTTCAACAACAGCAGATATTTTTGAAATAAGACCTTCATTTTGAAAAAATAGAAATTGTATCAATATTTGTCATCTTCAACTTCCGAGTCAAGAGAGAAGAGAATAGTTCCTTTAGAAGTGAAAATAACACTGTAATTCCCTTAGCAATAGAGTGTGGGAAAGACTGTGGACATTTTCATTGGTCCACCAATTTCGCATATAAGGTGACGATCACCTTGAACGAACGCTTTTAGTCATGATCAACATGCTTCTAGCCACTGGAAATAGTTACTCTTAACTATTGGATAAGGTTTCCACTTATATTTTTGGTGCCCTCACTTAAGCATTAGGAAATTTACTCTCTGTCTTCCAAGATACGCCGTACTTTCATGTTAGTCAGGTAACAAGATATTATTATTGTAAACTCTCTCTCGCGATAACTGATGTAATATCGTTGATAGATAAGATAGATAATCTCCATGTAGAGAGCTACGATAAATGATTATACACTATCAGTTATTGTTTCTTGTATAGATTACATTATAGTCTTTTAAATAAATATACTTGATTGTTTTATATTTGGTTTATAATCGCCTAACTTCATCGATTTCCCCACGTAAAGAATATACTCCCCTAGATACTTTACACTACTCGAATCGCAAACGGTCGTTTACTCGCGAGTTAGGACAAATCGTTGAATATTTCTAACTGGTGTCAGGACCCTGACATAAAGATTTTTCTATCTCTCAGTCATTTACTTAAAATATACACCATTCTAAATAGATATGGATTGCCTGAACGGCAGTTCTCACAATTGGTGTCAGTAGTTTGGGTGTTTATCCCATATCCCTTAGACATTTCTCACATTGTTGTTAGTGGGAGAGAGGTTAACTGTTTCTATCCCTGGCATTCTCATACAATAATATAATACGGTTTATTGGCAAAAGCATTTAATTTATTTGACAATACAAATTAACATCAGTTATTTTGTAGATTAGACAAGGTCATTCACCACGCAAGAAATCGATTTGGGATGAATTTACAGTAAAAAAATCATTTAGTTTCAGTAATTTAATTACTTAAACTATTCACAATAAATGTGTCAATAGAACAGCAAAAATTAATTATAGGTATTTCATTATTTTATTTAAAAATGAGTTTTAGACTGATGTAACTTGTCAAGTTCACTGTAAATTGAAGTGGCAATTGAAGAATTACTGCAATGTAATATACAGAGTTTAGGTATGGAAATAATGCATTTCTATCTTTCGATAGGTGGTAGTATAATACATTTGTGTGCGTGCTGCGGTCGTCAGGCTTGGAGTGATTATTATGGAAATTTTGCTTGCAGAACTTGTATAGAATTTTTCATAACCTGTATTCGAGAGAGGAAACCGTGTGAGTGTCGAAGGAAGGCAGATTTGTGCCAAATTTTAAATGATACACAATCTAGATGCGACTTTTGCTATTTGCAACGTCTACATAATGCAGGATTAAGGCCTAAAATGTATGGAAGACACGAAAATGGATGATATATAAAAGACATAATTCCTTCTCTAGTTAAAATTTCGGCACAACATTTAGATTTTATAAGTGTCATTTTTGAACAACTCAAATTTGTTTGTTCCTTAATTAAATTAATATTTTCAGTCTCTAGATTATCATAAGGAGGAAAACGAAAGAACAAAAATTTCACTTCTGGTGCCTTCTATATTTCAAATTTTGGTTGATACAGAATTCGCCTAATATAAAACTAAACAATATACCTGTATGTATAATAATAGATATTGTTTACTTCAAAGCCTTTTTTGTTTGATAAGAGGAATACACCACGAATGAATTGACAAGACGACGCCTCTCACGCGGTCTTTTATGGCCACTATCTAGAGGTACGACAGGCGAAACAATATCCTGAAATTTTGATGCATTATACAATAAATACTTCTTTAAAAAAAATTATGAAGATAGTTTCCCAGAGAAGTAATACATTCTGAATAAGAACAGTTGAGTATTTATTAAGCAAATTACACAATATTTTTTGAATTACCCGATAATTATTCTGACCAACGAAAAATTATAGAGATTTTAAAATGTTTTAAAACGGAAATATTTTTACGTATAATTTAACTTTGCCTGCAATCTTCATGCAACGATTTATGCAAAACTTTGCTCAAATCGAGGTATATTACAGTTACATCCATTGTTTCGAAACAACTGGTTACTTGCACCATGAAAATCATCAGTATTCAATTTCATCTACTGTAAGGTAAAATATTCTGAAATAATAACAATGAAAACTTAATTACGGTACGAAGTTTGTGAAATATTGTAATGTATAATACATATTAAATGTAAATTTTGAGAAACAGAAAAATAAAAATTAATACCCTTATAATGTAGGCTGCTTCTTGCTGTAAAGTTGGAATTCCGAGTTCAGAATCACGAAGAAATCGACGTGTTACAGATAAACAAAGAAATGAAAAATTTTGATGCTCTAAAACACGGCATTTATAAGGATCGAAGTATCGATAACCGCATTTCAGGACATCGTGAGCATGAACTGAATTTAAAACAGCACCTAATATAGTTCCTCTGAAGGACATATTCCTCGAGTTCACGTACTTTAAAATAAAAATACAATTATTAGTAACTATCTAAATTTAAATTATAACAAACAATATATATTATTACAGGTAGATCTCCTAGTCTTATATTAGGGAGATTTGTTATCCACCATGATATAAAATATAGATTACATCCGAATTTAAACGCTTTCATCATGTCGTTTTCCGCTTCACAATATGGACACTGAAATATATCCCATTAATTGAATTAAATAACAAACAATATGAATTATATTAAAATGTAAACTCACTTCACAATAATTTTGTGCCCGTACTCTAACCAGTTTAGGAGCAACGTCTTTCATGTACCATCCATTTTCGTGTCTTCCATACATTTTAGGCCTTATTCCTGCATTATATAGACGTTGCAAATGACAGAAGTCACATTTAGATTGTGAATCAGTTGTAATTTGGCACAGATCTGCCCTTCTTTGACACTCACAGGTTTTCCTTTCTCTAATGCATTTTATGAGAAATCGTATGCAGATTCTGCAAGCAAAATTTCCATAATAATCACTCCATGCTTGACGACCGCAGCACGCACACAAGCTTACTATATTACCACCTTTTGAAAAATAAAATACGCAACTAATCAATTCTTTTCTATTAAATTTCATTGTTACATTAATTAATATTGTATTTATAATTTAATATAAATTTCCCAAGTAACACCGTTTAAAAAAAAAGTCAATTATTACTGAAAATATCATTATAAAATAATTAAATACCTGTATATAACCTATATTGTTCTGATCGATTGACAAATACCATATTATTTAACTGATTAAATAATCAAATCACTGATATCGAATGAAAATTCTAGTAAACAATTTGGTTTCTACTTTTAATAAACTTAAATGCTACTAATTTACATAAAATTATGACATTACAACGAGATTAAATCAAATTTTATTTTTTTATAATATTGTTACACAGATTAATATTTTATTCTCCTTTAAAACATGTATTTATTTTTTTTTTATTAATTAATATATTAAATAAATTGTATAATTATACCATATCATATTAGGATCCTTCCGGGTAAATACGTAGATTAGGCTAGTCGTCGGCATGAGACGTTTGTGACATATTAGACATTTTATAGACATTGAAGAATCTCGTAAAATACATCNTTAAATAAATTGTATAATTATACCATATCATATTAGGATCCTTCCGGGTAAATACGTAGATTAGGCTAGTCGTCGGCATGAGACGTTTGTGACATATTAGACATTTTATAGACATTGAAGAATCTCGTAAAATACATCTTTTTGACTAATTCTTTAGCCATTTTTATGTAATCTTGTAAGTCTTCTTTTGCCGTCTCCGTTTTCCTCTTGTAACTCTGAAGAAGAAGATTATACGTTAATTCAGTGAAGGATCAACGGAGTAAGCTGTGACAGTGTCCTAGTGTGCCCCTCATTGCTTGTCACAACTAACCCCAACTGACGTTTTCTTCTTCTGTCTCTCTAAGTACAAGAATTTTATTATATTGCTATCATATAATTCAGTAAAATAAGGCGTAAAATGTTACAATGACGGCATTCGGTGCTATAAGCCTTGTTACTACTTGTCCCTCTTTCCACTACTGTCAAAGATGGAAAAAATAGTTTAAAAAAGTCATCATTTACATCTCTAAGCACTAATAAAGCCTTTTTAACACGCCTATTATAGGTTCGGTTAGGCCTTACTATGGGTAGTGAGGAACGGAGCCCGACATGTCTGAAATGATCGCCTCCGAAAAATTCCTGCGGTATTTCGATCCTGGTTTCCCCCAGAGTGATAAGGTATCACCTTAACTGCTTGGCCATTCGTCAATTGTAATGGTAACTGTAATTTTCATTGTATCTTGGTTTTTTCAGCTTTGTAAAATTTTTAAAAATTTAAGATAAGTTTAAATAGCATCTTATTGCTTTGGAAAACCCCTGAATCAATCAGGGAGAGTAACCTAGAGAATTTTTCTGGTAGTGTTCAATCTCGGATTCCATCCTTCATCACCCAATCGTCCATATTGTGGCCCTAGCCGAACCCTCCATATTAAAAACCCTCTTTGATTAAAAACTCTCTTAATACCCACGTAAAGAATAGTTAAAATTGAAAACACACAAAAATTTATACCTAATACAGCAATTTTACCCGAGAAGAAATCAGCGACCACAGAAGTTATCATCATATTAATATACTGTATTATTTGTGAGTGTTGTATGGTTAATGTAAAATATGTAGTTATTGTCACAACTGATAGTCGTGAAACAAGTAATCTTTATTAATAATTTCCATTAGCCATAGAAACACTGGTATCAAATATTTTTAATTACTAGTGTCATACACGAGTGTACAGGCCTACCTAAAGAGAATGAATGAAGTGAGTTATCGTGTACCGGTTCTTTTCGCTGACCAGATAGCAAATACCACGCTGACATACAACATTGTATACACAAATTAAATTAGCTTAAACAGGAAATGACTTCCATTTCCACGGAAATGTTAGAGCATAGAGAAATAACACTGCGGGATTTGGTATGCCAAACGTTTGCGAAATGTAATTAGCAAGAGTATCGATAGAAAATACAGTTAGGGTGCATTGCTCACTTAAACACCTCTTCAAAAAACTAATCAACTCATATAATTTATTCAAAAAAATTACTTGTAAGTAATATAAAATAAATATTTTTAAATACTTATGAATTGCTCGAAAACAACGAGATGATTTACAATTTAAAAAAACAAAATTAGTAAATAAAAGTATTTATTTCTAAACTTGTCTTAAAATACGTAAAATTCAGCACTGTTTTAAAATATATAAATTGAGTTTTACATGTGATTCAAATACACACTACGTCGAAACTACTGTACTACTGCGATGAATATCATCAGTATTCAAATTCATCTACTGCAAGGTAAAATGTTCTGAAAGAAAAAACGTTATATATATATAAATTACTACATGAATTTTATGAAAATTTTTATAACTATTGTGTATTGAACGTAAATTTAGAAAAAAACAAAATAAAATCAATACCCTGACAATATAGTTTTCTTCTTGCTCCAAAGTTGGAATACCAAATTCAGAATGACGAAGAAATCGACGTGTTACACCTAAACACCAAATTAAATAATTTTGATTATCTAAAACACGACATTTATAAGGATCGATGTATCGATAACCGCATTTCAGGACATCGTGAGCATGAATTGAATTTACGACAGCACCAATTATATTTCCTCTGATAGACAAACTTTCAAGATTCACATACTTTAAAATAAAATAAAATTATTAATAAATCATCTAAATTTTAATTTAATAAAGAAAGAAAGAAAACAAATAAAATCTATTATTACAGGAAAATTTCTCAGTCTTAAATCAATGCGATTTCTTAGCCACCAAGATATAAAATATAGATTACATCCGAATTTAAACATTTTTACCATTTCATTTTCCGCATAACAACGTTTACACTGAAATATTATATTAATTGAAATTAAATAAAATAATGAACAATTTGAAATATATTAAAATTAAAATATAAACTCACTTTACAAAAATTTTGTGCCTGTACTCTAACCAGTTTAGGAATAACGTCTTTCATGTACCATCCATTTTTGTGTCTTCCATACATTTTAGGCCTTATTCCTGCATTATATAGACGTTGCAAATGACAGAAGTCACATTTAGATTGTGGATCATTTGTAATTTGGCACAGATCTGCCTTTCTTTGACACTCACAGGTTTTCCTTTCTGTAATGCATTTTATGAGAAATCTTATGCAGGTTCTGCAAGCAAAATTTCCATAATAATCACTCCATGCTTGACGACCGCAGCACGTACACAAGCTTACTATATTACTACCTTTCGAAAGATAGAAAAGAATTAATTAGTTGCATACTTTAACCATTGTTAATATTGAAATTTCTGTTTCTTTGTGTTCTTCAAAATTCAATGTAAAGTTAACAAGCAATATTAAAAATACAAATTAAATATCATTATAAATGATTAATTACCTGTATATCTACACTCTTCTATTGGATTAATAATCGTCATATTTTTTAATTAATATCTAGATTAATGTAAGAAAATGTTAATTCCTGTCAACTCCAATTACATAATCATGTACTTAAATACTGATAATTTACATAAAAGAATGACATTGCGACGAGGTTATAAAAAAAATAATTAAATTTAACATAATGTATTTTTTCTAAATGATATTTTATTATCTTTTATAAAGATATTTAATTTTCTTATTAATGCTGAGTTATTATTATGCAATTTAATAAAAGAAATTTATTATATTATTCAAAGGCAAGACGGCCAAGACAGTTATGCATCAGCCTGCCACTTTAGGGTATTCGTGATCGAATCTGGGTGAAGATTACAAGAATTTGTCATTGGCGATATGTCCTGGATATGTCCAGCATCATCCTTTACAATACAGTTGCCCTCATCCTGAGCCTCAATGGGTATGTCGTGTTATGCTGCAACTATTCTTATCATTTTATCAAGATTACCACATATAAAAGCTTAAAGATTAAAGGGGATAGCATGTTCTAACCTAACTTTTTTGGTAATGACTGTGGAGAAAAGAAACACAGTAGTGGTCATACCACCAATAATAACTGCTCGATTTAGAACAGAGGACTTTAAATTCTTCTAGAGAAATTACTAATGTTTAAACTGAGCGTCTGCCCATTCGGCAGATTCAAGGGGCACACAACAGTCTACTGTTGGTTAATACAATGGACAGAGTTTAACCTGCTAATCTATTTAAAGTCTACCCTATTTAAAGTCTACAAAAAAGAAACTATAAAGCTAGAAAGCTGGATGGGTTGTTTCAACATTAATGATTTTTAATGGGAGTTCGCCAGGTGAACTACTTACGCCTGGAAACGTTGAAGAATTAAGAACCATTCGGCTATAACCAGCCTTTGTTACATCTGGAAACAAAGTCCCAAAAAAGAAGAAATTACCGTGCTAAGCAAGATGCACGCACGGTAAATGGTCAGACAGATTACAGAGAGAAGCATCTACTGAGATGGAAATAAGACGAAGGTCAAAAGATCGCCGATGAGAAGAGAGGAGAGGCGTGTCATCCCACCAGTTATTGTGTAAGTGGTAGTGTCTTATTTCAAAGTTTTAGGAGTCTGACTAGANACAAGAAATGTATAAAATTACAGTACTGTATTAGACTTACGGTACCTAATTTACATACTGACAGACGATAGTTAGCGTAAAAATCTCCGTAGCGTGGCGCCACGCTAGACGGCGGAAATTATATATTTAATTATAACAAAGTTACAATAAGTTAATATATAATTATATATACAGTACCTAATTTATATATAATTAATATATAATTATATGTACAGTACCTAATTTATATATAATTAATATAATACTGTCCAGACGATAGAAATCTCTCCGTAGCGTGGCGCTACGGACGGCGGAAAAGTAGTTTGGCTGCGCGATGACGTTTAACGTAATTATAGGGGTTTTTTTACTGTTTTTACGGATACCGTCACAATTTTTTCGCAGTTTTATAGGAATCGTAATTATTGGTACCGTAATTATAGGGGGTCGACTGTATTTTCATAAGGTTTTCAGTATTCACGTTAACAAATTAATCATCGAATTATCAGACTAATAAGGAAAGGGTTGATGTTTTTATTTGCATTTGTATCATCTATGGAGGAAAGTATATTATTATATAATAGATTATTGAATTAATTATTTGTTATTTTTAATTGCCTATAAATTTTTATATTGTTAATTTTATTAAGAAATTTCTTACTAATTGTATACAATGGTTTTGATGAAAGAACAACAAATTAGGTGTTAACACGTAAAGAAAACCAGGATAATTTCCCGTATCAGACCTGTTGGTGAAGCGCGAATCCACAGCCACTTGACAGTTGTTCAGTGGTTTATCCATTCTTGAGTAATCCTTCTCTCTTCCATTCTAATCGGCTTGGTAGGCTACAAACCCATTGAACTACGGGAAGAGAGACGGACTTGACCACCTGTTAAAAATTCCTGAAGATCTATATCAAAACTCTGAAACATCCCCATCCTCCAGAAGGCATTCTGCGAAAGGAAAATCAGAAGATTGTAAAGATTGGAAAAATTTTTTAACCTTTTCACTATCTCATTTTCTTGGTCATGTATTCGTAATCTNTTCTGCAAGCAAAATTTCCATAATAATCACTCCATGCTTGACGACCGCAGCACGTACACAAGCTTACTATATTACTACCTTTCGAAAGATAGAAAAGAATTAATTAGTTGCATACTTTAACCATTGTTAATATTGAAATTTCTGTTTCTTTGTGTTCTTCAAAATTCAATGTAAAGTTAACAAGCAATATTAAAAATACAAATTAAATATCATTATAAATGATTAATTACCTGTATATCTACACTCTTCTATTGGATTAATAATCGTCATATTTTTTAATTAATATCTAGATTAATGTAAGAAAATGTTAATTCCTGTCAACTCCAATTACATAATCATGTACTTAAATACTGATAATTTACATAAAAGAATGACATTGCGACGAGGTTATAAAAAAAATAATTAAATTTAACATAATGTATTTTTTCTAAATGATATTTTATTATCTTTTATAAAGGTATTTAATTTTCTTATTAATGCTGAGTTATTATTATGCAATTTAATAAAAGAAATTTATTATATTATTCAAAGGCAAGACGGCCAAGACAGTTATGCATCAGCCTGCCACTTTAGGGTATTCGTGATCGAATCTGGGTGAAGATTACAAGAATTTGTCATTGGCGATATGTCCTGGATATGTCCAGCATCATCCTTTACAATACAGTTGCCCTCATCCTGAGCCTCAATGGGTATGTCGTGTTATGCTGCAACTATTCTTATCATTTTATCAAGATTACCACATATAAAAGCTTAAAGATTAAAGGGGATAGCATGTTCTAACCTAACTTTTTTGGTAATGACTGTGGAGAAAAGAAACACAGTAGTGGTCATACCACCAATAATAACTGCTCGATTTAGAACAGAGGACTTTAAATTCTTCTAGAGAAATTACTAATGTTTAAACTGAGCGTCTGCCCATTCGGCAGATTCAAGGGGCACACAACAGTCTACTGTTGGTTAATACAATGGACAGAGTTTAACCTGCTAATCTATTTAAAGTCTACCCTATTTAAAGTCTACAAAAAAGAAACTATAAAGCTAGAAAGCTGGATGGGTTGTTTCAACATTAATGATTTTTAATGGGAGTTCGCCAGGTGAACTACTTACGCCTGGAAACGTTGAAGAATTAAGAACCATTCGGCTATAACCAGCCTTTGTTACATCTGGAAACAAAGTCCCAAAAAAGAAGAAATTACCGTGCTAAGCAAGATGCACGCACGGTAAATGGTCAGACAGATTACAGAGAGAAGCATCTACTGAGATGGAAATAAGACGAAGGTCAAAAGATCGCCGATGAGAAGAGAGGAGAGGCGTGTCATCCCACCAGTTATTGTGTAAGTGGTAGTGTCTTATTTCAAAGTTTTAGGAGTCTGACTAGATGAAAGTTTACCTCTTCAGTATTTGGTTTGGTTTAGTGTGAGAGCAACGCAACGCAGTTCATCTGTCAAAGATATCTCCCGGGAGCAATTTCTTTGGGAAACTGGCCCTTCTTTAGGTGTTAAAAACGTGAAGAAAACCTCATAAATTCCACACGGCAGGCTGTTGGTTAACTTGGTATCCTACAACTCTGGGATAATCACATCCGGACGGGTTGAAAAAAACCCAGGAGGTAGTCCACCCGGATTTCTCCGACTTCATCCCTCGCCAACAGCCACCCCATTGTGACCGAACCATAATTATAGTACAAGATGATTTACGTCTTCATACATAAATAGTGTTTGCTATTTTATTCATCTAATCATAAGTTAGATAATTTCGACTGAATTTAATTGAATGTGCACGTAATTCAAGCGTTATTGTAACTCCATACATATACTAGCAATATAGATACAAAAGTATCACTATTGTAGTATCCTTCAATAGTGATACTTTCGCTGTATTTAAATAGGTAGAAAAATATGTGGACAAACTAGATACTATTCTAAAAAATGTACATAATATATAATAATATTACATAATACCGTATACTATAAAAAGATCTAGCTTTTAGCTGGTGCTGAAACCAGCTTGTTCATTTGGTTACACGTGGGCGATATGCCACCTGGGAGAACTTTTTATTTGAAACTGACCCTATTTAGTTGTTAAATATGTGAAGAAAACACGGAAAACTCCAGACAGTTGGAGAGGCGCGACCCACAATCTGTCTTCGATGGCTTTCATCCATAAGCTACTGATGGAATCCACAGCAGCTACACCTTCACCGGAACTGCCATCAAACCGGTTAGATCATAAAAATATACGGTGTTAATTGTACTTTAACTTTCCTGTATAATTTTTTTCCTTTTCTTTACTTAAAATCAATATAAATTGTACGTGGGTTTGCACCCCACCAACATTAAACCTCCACTAAACTTTTCCTATTACCTATGCTTAAGATAATTTTAAAATATTACATTTTATGATCTCTATCATCTTATTTATCATTCATATATCATTTAAATACTATATTTCTTTCTATCTAACTATAAGTTTTATTCCTGAAGTAATATAATTGTTTGAATTTCAGCGATTTGTTTACAGTTATCAAAAGTATTGTAAACAATTAATTAAAAAAATTCTTAATGAAATTAACAATATAAAGGATTTATAGGCAATTAATGATAATGGAAATGTATTTACCGGTAATATTATATTTTACAGAATACATTTTCCTCATTACGTGATAACGCAATTAAAAATGCCGACCTTTTCCTTATAGTTTGATCATTTTATGATTAATTAGTTACCGTGAAACTGAAAGTTGTATGCTAATTCGATATCTTAATATGTCCTTTCTTATACTACAAATCGCATATAACTTAGCATTGTTAAAATATAACCTTTATCATAATACAAAGACACTTCATTTATATAAAATTCTGTTTATTTTCATTGATATACAATTTTAAATGGATAATAATTATGAATAAATCAATAAAACTAATTTGATACAGGCTTTTTCTACGTT